TATATATATATATATATATATATATATATATATATATATATACCCACATACACACACACACATACATACACAAACATAAACTGTATAAAGGTGTGTAAATATAGAAGCAAAATATTATATACATGTACAGGTATGATGACATAACAATGTTAATGTAATGACTGTAAGGTGGTGTAGAAGGGAAAAATAATTTAAAAAATCTGCCAGCAAAAAAGAAATTTTTATTTGGGGGTGAAGTGAATACTGGTATTAGAGTTTGTTAAATTTACATTTTATTGATGGCTATGATTCCTGACTATTGCTTTTTTTAGTTAGCTAAAGTGGATGAAGTACAGATTGAGAACAGTTTTTATAATAACATTAATATGTTCATCTTTAAGGCATATTTTTCCTTCTTCTGTTCAATCATGTCCAATTCTTAGAAACTGTCTGGACAAATCCTAGGTTTGAGTGAAAATGATAGCCCAAAGTCACCCAGCTACCTTTTCTGCCTAAGGCATCAGATCTCTTGGTTTCTAGCCAGATGCCAGGCTTAACCATTTCACCAAGCTGGCTCCCAAGGTATATGTACACAATCCTTTTTTAATGGAAGAATCAGTGATCTTACAAAAGGGACAACATGGATAGGTTGCAGTCAAAATAGAAAGTATGCATGTTGAGATTAAAAATCATGCTTTCTAATATGGTACCCCATCAGTTTGTTTGTGTGTGTGTGAATAACTTACAAAAGAATAACTTACAAAAAATCTTTGGCATTTGAAATGATGACTTAGGTATATGTGTGCAAATTCTGAGTTTAAATTCTTTCACATTTTTAAAGTCTTAGCGTATTCTTTTATCTTTGTTTAAAGGGAAATCCATTAAAAGAACCGCAGACCTCTTTGAGAAGAATATTACTGTGTTGTTTGTGTGATGAAAACAAGTCAATTGATGCAAAGAATTTTGGAAATGATTTTCCTAGAGTTCCTTTCTGGACATGTTATTTTATAAAATATGTCTATAGAAAGAAATAATATATATATTTTAAAAAATGGTTCTCAAATTAAAATATGTTTGCATGAGATGTTAATTTGATGTGTAATCATGAATATACAGTAAATTATTCAGTGAGTATGTCAAATCAATGTCAACCAATTATACTTCATTTGTTAAGGTTGATAAGAGTGTTACATTTTAGTAAAAAGAAATGTAATGCCAGATTATTATCAGCACTAGAGTTAAGAAGGGGGTGGTGACCAGCTGGTGTTGTTAATTTCCCTACTCCCCAAATGTACTTATCTCCAGTTTCTATCTCATATTCAAGCAGAAGAAAGAAACCTTTCTCAATTTAGTTCAGACGTGCTGTGGTTAAGTTTTGTAAGGATTATAAACTACCGTTGACCTCACCCCATTCCTAAGAGGTCAGTAGGGGCGTGCGTAAGTGCACCAGAATGCCTAATGTCTCTGTCCTACTGTCCCCATTTATTTGTCCACATTTCCTGTGTTCTTATTCATGTTTGTTCTTATTCCTGTTATCTTGTACATGAGCGACAAATTAAATAAATAAAATAAATAAATAAAAATAAATTGTGGTTAAGTCACTGTCGTGGTTGCATGGACTGATTTCAGACATGTAACAGATCAGATCATGTAAAGAAATTAAAGCCTAGTATTCTTTGTTTATGTCAATGTCCTGAAACAGTTTCTGATATAATTCTGATAAAGCTTGAATATGATTTCAAATATTTTTGATGAGTTGTGCTAGGGATCATTAATTTTATCCCGAACACTATATGTTGGGGGGATTTCTGTGGAAGTTTATGGCCGAAGAGGAAAAGAGACATTTTTGGTTGATATCTGGATGTTGAATGTACTGTAATCTTTAATATCTTGATATTCTATTTCAGGGTCAATGGATTAGCGTGATATTTTCCATGAACTAAAACAGTTCCATGTCTTGTTTGGTAAGCACATATTTGCTTTAATGTTTGAAATCTAGCAGGTGTTAATATATAAATAATATGCATGTTGGAAATATAATAAAGAGATACAAAGAGAATAATTTTATTTTGTCAATTGCGGAACACTGAAGGTCAGAACTCTGGTTCATTTTCCTGAGTCAAAGTTTTTAAATAGAATCTTCTTTGAACTGTAAAATATAGCCAAAAATTGTGGTTTAATGCCTCCTTTTACATCTTAATATACATTAAAAATGTATATTACATCTTAATGTAATGTTCAGGTTCAGGCCCCACAGCAAGTTGTGGATTAACAGTATCCCAAACTAAAGATTACAGGGATAAAATTAATAATTGGAAGGGCCGTTTTATAGTTTCGTAAAGAGGGGGTTAATTGGATGACTAAGTCCAGGATCTCTCTTATTTATCTAGCTTTGAATTCAGAGAATTATACTGGACTTAATTTTGAAAAAGTGAATTTAATCATGATTTTTCAAAATGGACTCTTAGATGTTCCTAAACCCACTGAGATAATCACATTATTTGGAAAGGGTTCATTTCTTATTGTGCACAGTGTCAACATTAATTCATTATTACTATGCACCGAGGTTGCAGTTTCATATAACAGATGAGTGTAGATTACATTTTAAAGGCTTTATTTTTCTACTTTCAAATATCTTTGTAGGACTGTTCCTGTATTCTACGGACTCGAGTTGAATCCATTAGAGTAGAAAAGCAATCGGAAAGCATCAGTAGTCAAGACTTGGTAAGAGAAAATTCATCTTATCTTAGCAGAACCAGTATTTTTCTATCACAATCATGTTTACGCTTGTGATAAAATGTATACTGTCTATTTTCTGTTCACTTTGAGTGATATACGACAAAATAATGCTTTTTCCATTCTTGCAAGGAATTGCCTATTTTATTGTAAAAAAAGGACCAGATCCTTCAAGAAAATGTTAAGCCATTAAACATCTATCCAGCACAGCTGTATAAATTAATTCAGAAGCTCTCATTCTCATCCCTTTGGCTGAATACAGATAAGTTAGTCCTTGCTTAACAATAGTAATCAGGACTGGAATTGCTAAGCAATTTTATAACATGACATCATGTGACCGCATCACTTGGCAATCCTGACGGTCCCCATTGCTGCTGTTAAGTGAGAATCGCAGGTCATTAAGAAAGGGCCTCCTTGCAACTTCCTGCTGGCTCCCAAACACAAATCAATGGAGAATCCAGCAAGAAGATGCAACTCCCAGCAACTCGCAAGCAGACTGGCAGGCGGATAAGTCGCTGTTACCAGGTGGGAGAGGATACGTGAGCGATAGTAGCGACATGCCGAAATAATTTGGGGCCTAGGAATGGTTGTTGCAGGATGGGGAAGATTGGTTCACTGACAAAAGGGCGAGCGACAAAAGCGCGCCCGACTAAACCGCGATGACAAAACCGTGAGTTCTAAAATGCACCGACGAATGAGCACTGAATCGCGCCGACAGCGCACTGACAGAAGCGCGCTGTAAACCTAAACCTAACGCTAACCCCAAACCTAACCCTAAACCTAACCCTTACCTTAACTTAAATCGCGCTTCTGTCGAAGCGCTGTTGTCGGCATGTTGATGACCTCGTGGTTTTAGCCATGCGGTTTTGTCGGCGCGGTTTTGTCGGGTCACGGGGAATATTTACTCGAGTGACTTGCGACCTGTTCTCCTGACTTCCCCCTTGATTTTGTCTGTGGGAAGCCAGCAGGGAAAGTCATAAATGGTGATCATATGAACAACACTGCAAGTGCAAGCTGGTTGCCAGATTTCAATCATAAGACTGTGTGGATGGTGTGATGGCTGTAACTTTGAGGATCAGTTGTAAATACCACATATTTAGCACCGTTGCAACTTCAAACAATCATTGAATGTGTGGTCAGTAAGTGAGTACTATCTGTATATATTAGAGAATTGGAATTATGCACCAAATAGATTTCTTGTCCTCTAGAGCAGGGGTGTCAAACTCAATTTCATTGAGGGCCGCATAAGAGTTGTGTTTGACCTTGGAGGGCTGAGAGGGCATGGAGCATGGCCAGGGTGGGCGTGATCATGGTGGCAGTGACACGGGACTCGTGTTGGGGGAGCACTTGTGGTGACCAAGTGCTAAGGCAGGACTTCCCTTAGACTCTCCCTCACTCTCATTATACTCTTTCCTGACCAATTCTTTTTCTTCTGATTGCTGCTTATGTTCCCAGCTGTTTTCCTGCAGCTCTCTGGCAGCCAAAACGAGGTGTGTGGGGGCCACACGGCACCCACACCCCCTGTTTTGGGCCTGGATGGCCTGCAGCAGCCTGGCAACCAAAACGGGGCATGAGGGTGCCATGCGATCCCCCCCCCCCCGCACTCCATTTTGGCTACTAGAGGCACCGTGGGCCAGATTTAAGTATCCTGTGAGCTGGATCCGGCCCGTGGCCCTTGAGTTTGACACCCCTTCTCTAGAGTATTTATATGCTTTAGATAGGATATATTTTTTTAGTATTTTGGTTTTAATGTACTTACATTATATAATATTTTGAGTGAAAATGAGCGTCTGGATTTTTCATGGATTGAAATGTATACCTTATCTGATCAGCCATATAGATTTTTTTTTACAAATTAAATACATTGAACAATAAAAAAGTACACCCCAATTAAAGAAGTTCTTGCCATCAAAAACCAGGCAAAATTAAAAAAACCACTTGGAGCTTTTGAAATGATACATAGACAGGAATGTTGGCAGATTTTCAAAATGTATGTGAAATGACACCATTTTAAACAATAAAGATTAATAGTTATTTTTGCTATTCAGACAGATGAACTTGCTGTATGTTGGGGCCAATCAACTCAAAGAGGAGATGTACAGATACCATTGTCATCTGATGTATCACACTATGATCTCCAGGTGGAGATAGGTGATTGCTTTGTGATGGAAAGATGTTCCTATTTTGTCTTAAGTGGGAGATCTTCAGTGTATACTTGAACCAAAGATATGGATTAGAAATTTTACCCTTTGCGATCCCCTGCCAATAGGTCTGAGATATATACATTAGTTCTATTTTTATTAATGCTTGCTTGTATTTTACAACCTATTTCCATTTAACTTCTGGTCTTTCCTTTGATTTAGTAAGTCTTGATATTAGTCTTTGTTTTTAATTCATGCTAGCTTCAGTAGTATAAGGATATTGTCAAATCGTGCATGAATAATTATTTTTCAGCTGCAATATCTATCACCTCTTTTTTAACCAGAAGAAAATGCATGTTTGCATTCTTCTCCATTGCCTCAGATCCTACATGAGTGAATAAGATAGGAATACTGTCTATTCGAGCATGGTATTACACAAGCATCTTTGTATGTAACTAGCACATGGTGCTGATAATTGGTATGAAGATAATCTGTTATGCTAACGAGCTGCTTAAGATTTATTTTAAATGAACTTCAATTGGCAATCCCTATTAAAATACCAGTTTTAATTCTTATTTCATTTTTTGTATACCAATGCCTTCAACATTTAAAATGCTACCCCAATATTCATTGATCTATTCTGAATACTTGGTAAATTTATAAATTACACGGTGTTTATCATTCGATACTCACCACAGCATAATACAGGTAGTCCTTGGTTAAGCACAGCTTTGTTCAGTGACCATTGAAACTTATAATGGTGTTGAAAAAGTAGATTTTTGACTGACCCTCAAACTTATGCCCATCAAGGTTTCCCCCAGTCATATGGTTACAATTTGGGTGCTTCACAGTTAGCTTACATTTATAACATCCCATGGTTACATGAGCTTCAAAGCTGGTTTCTGGCAAGCAGAGTCAATGGGGAAGCCAGCAGGAAGTTGCAAGTTGCAGTCACATGGCACTGTGCTTAATCACTGGGGATGATTCACTTAACAATTGCAGTGGAATGCTTGACATAATAAGTCTGATGTGGCCATATGATGTTTCACTTGTCATTGACTATTGCTTAGCAACAGTTGCCAATCCCAATTGCGATAATTAAATGAGAACTACCTGTAATCTTTTTAAAATAAAAAGATTGTCTCAACTAGGAAATAGCTTTCTGAATCAAATTGTTGTGTTCTAGTTCAAGTCAGATATTTATGCTTGCTTTGAAAAATGTTCTTTTTCACAATTGTTAAGATTTTGTGAGTAATAAGAACATTTTGTTCATTTATTTACTTTGCTTGTATATCATTCCAAAGTATTATTAGTGAATTAATTAGAATGTTAAGTGGTATATTCCTGTTTCTGTGTAGGAAAAGGATGTAACAACTTAACTTCAATCTACCTCGCCCGTCATATCCCGACAGGAACACTGGTGGCTGTAAGAATTACAGATCTGGAAAGATGTTCTGAAGAACTCTTAAACACTTTACAAGTAAACATGATTTTAAACTTGATATATAATGCTTGCGAGGTTATATAAGTTGAGACGTTTACCTGTATCCCCATATTCCTACTAATTCTAGATATGCAAAGAAATTTGGAAATCTCACGGAGAATTAGTTACAGCTTTCTCAAGTAATTTCAGTCATCTATTTTTTTTTTCCAGATTCAGGGATTGTTTTCAGATCATTAGTGCCATACACATAGTCTCCTATGGCTAAAACAGCATGGAATATTTCCTGTCTTTTAGATTATTACAACATTTATTTCCTTCTTTAGAATGAGGTGATATTATCCCACTTTTTCCGACATCGGAATATCTTGACTTTTTGGACAGTGTTTACTGCTGGAAGATGGCTTTGGGTTATTTCTCCTTTCATGGCTTACCGTAAGTGTTTACAAAAACATATGCTTATTTATTCAATTCTTTCTGCACATGCAGAGCAATTCAGCTTATTTATATAAACTATTTACCTAGTTTATGGAATCTTTTGTACTTCCAAGTGGGATAATTACTTAAAGAGGAAACCGTTGGGACTATTTTTTTGAAACATAGAATTGCTTCAGTTATGAGCTTTGGGGCGCAATGCTAATGTGCAAAATATCAATGAATTTGATCATTCTAATAATGGTAGAAAATATCTGGGCCAGCCCTGACCTTCCTATATTTATATACAAGAGCCGAGGTGGTGCAGTGGTTAGAGTCTCCCCTGTCTGTCTGTCTGTCTGTCTGTCTGTCTGTCTGTCTGTCTG